TAGAGGCAGGATTTTCTTCTGTAGGAGCCACTGAAGGGCGTTAAGGGAGTCCCCTGGGTGAAATGTGTGTCAGTGAACTAGTCTAGAGGACAGCGTAGGGAGCCTGGGGCCTGAAGCCTGGTCACGGGGCTCTAATTGTTACAGTCTAGATGAGAGATGAGGGCCTTAGCAAGTGCACCATTGGCAGAGAGGTAGTTTCAGATTTTGGACTATTTGAGGACCAGAGTCTACAAAATATGGGGATCTAGGAGGGAAGATGAAGACTGCAGATTGCTGGTTTGGATTTCACTAGACTTATATTTCATATCTGAGGATTTAAGATTCAGCAAACTCTTTGGTCTTAAAATAAAACTTTACTTTTACTAAAATACAGATTTGTAATTTAGAAACCTAGATTGTGAAAAGATGTGATGTAAATCAGTGGTTCCCTCCCCTGCCCCTTCCCATTCCTAGACTGTTACCCAGAGTCAATACTTCCAATGCATTGAGCTGTGTCTTTTGATATTTATCCACATATTTCAGTGTGTTAATATTGTTATTACTTAATTTATCACTTTTATTTTGCCTGTTAACTTCCCATTAAGGTAAGAATTTAGTTCTCTTATAACTCTACACACCTCATCTCCTCAGTTCTCTTAATACCACAATTTTGGTTCCATCAATAAACTGTATTTACATTATGACTATGTAAATATTCACTCAAGGGCCAGGAGTATACTCAGATTGCATTTTCTTTCACACAGAAAGAACTTTGTCTTGTTTATACTTGCATAATTTTTGTTAAACTTAGAAAGTTTGCAGCAGCCTCATCAGGTTCACCATATACCTGTCACTGAGGTTTTTACAATGCCCAGTTAATTGGTATTTTCCTTTTGTTGCCTGTGAAGCTGCTAGTCTTCCTGTTTCCACTCATTCCTTAGGGTCCTGCACAGTTGCCATTCAGGGACTTCCCAAACAGTTACTTGATGTCTTCCGTTTTATTGGTGGAGGGAGGGAGTGGGGGGTGGGAGGCGGGGAGAGAAAGAGAGAGAGAGAGAGAGAGAGTTGTGTTCAGAACATATCTCCTAGGAGCCTCTTGAGAAAATGTGTGTGTGGACAATGGTTTGCATATATAAAAACACCGCTTTCACACTTGATTGACAGTTTGGGTATAGAATTCTTAACTGAAAATTTTTCTTCATTGGAATTTTTAAAGTGTTGCTTTATTGACTTTAAGTATGCAGTATAAGAATGGAGAATTCAGGTGCCATTTTAGTTTTTGTTCTTTTATATGTGACTTTTTTTCCCTTCAACATTTCTGGGATTTTTTATATATGTCAATATTTTTCTCCTTTTACATTTTCTCTATTTTCCCTTTTCTCTGGAATTATTGTTAGTCAAATGTTGAATTTCTCTTTTGATTTTCTAAGCCTGTTAACTTGTCTTTGCTCTCTTCTGGGAGGGTTTTTTGATATCTTCTTTTTTCTGTTGGATTTTTGACAGTGACTGGTTAGTTTTAAATTTAAGAGCACTTGGAGTGTTTTACGTGGCAGGGGTTTTAATTTTTTATTATACCTCTTTGAGGATAGTAATTGCAACTTTTTATTCTCTTAATTATCTTTGTTTTTGTCATATCAATATTTGTTTGTTTTGATCTCTTGTCTGGGACTTTGCAAATCTTGGTGATTTTTAGCTCTCTTTTCATATTTAAAAGTGAAAAAGTCTAATTTGCTAGTTTCTGTGTTTGCCAGGGGCCTTTCCAAGTGGAAGTGTGGGCTTCTCTTCAGGCTAATTGGATGCAGAGCTGCTATATATTGTAGAGGAAGTGCCAAATATTAATGTGTGAATGTCTTTTCTTTGGGACTACTCAGTTTCACTAGGGAAGGATCTTCCAATGGAAGGGAGAATGATGGGAGTGGGCAGGTGGAGCAGGAAGAAAAGTGCATTTTTCCTGGCTGACGGCATTCTAGAATTAAAGAGAAGAGCAGGGGTAGATGTTTGAGCATTTCTGATACTGACTGTGGACTTTTTACTTAAAATACACCAGCCCTGTGCTTTCCACCCCCTCCCTCCCTCCCTCCCCCCCCAACCTACACCCACTTAGAGTCTGAAGCTTTTATCTCTTAGCCTTTGTGCAGAATAACCCTTCTCTTTTTTACTGTTTAGTGTCCCAGCCAGTCTTCACCTCCCACCCCACCCGCCCCTGCCTCTGCGCCACTCTCTGGGCCCTGCCTGGAAGTCCTGAGCCTCTCCCAGAGGCGGCGGGCCCCGAGACTAGCCGGCCTGATGGTGTTCCCACCTCTGCGCACTCCCTTGTGCTGCTGCTCCGAACTTTCCTGGTCTTCGTGCTGTGGAAGATTGACGTGCTTTAAATTGTGCAGGGAATCACGGAATTTTGAACCAAGGCCAGACCTGCAGTTACCGTGGCTTACACCTGCATGATCTCTATGGAGCAAATACTTTCTATTTGAACATTATGAAATTTTGGATGAGTCGGGGTTGGAACCATAATGGATGTCTTGATAGCTGTTGACCTTTTCATATATGTACTATCATAACATGTTAGTCTTAGAAACTGTTCACAGGCTCAAGTCTGACATTGTGATTGTAATGGTTGTGCAGTCACTATTCTAAAGAATGTAAGTTGCACCTTTGCTGGTAGGCCACTGCAGCTAAATTTCAGTTTTTTAAGATAGTAGTGGTGAAGTTTCTACTGTTCTGTTACATTTTCTCAAATTGAGAGATGCGTCGATTTCTAAGCAGTAAAAAAGACACCTAAAGTATGCAACTTTTTAAAAGGTTTTAGCCTGCTTGAGAAGCAGAGGCTTCATGAGGACTCAACACCAGCTACTGTCTTCTAATGGCGAATCAAAGTATACCTGAGCAAGTGGGGCAGGGTTCATTTATTTATTTATTTAATTTGTCTCCTAATAAGGAAAAGGAAAGTTAAAGTATTTGAACAAATATTTGGCTTTTACTTTTTCTTTCTTTTTAAAAACTGGGCAGTTCTCTTAGAAGCAAGTAAGTATTACTGTCTCTTTTGTCAGTATCAAGTTATTTTACTTTTGAGAGAAATAAGTAACTGGATTTTCTCTTTTTTTTAAAGATTAAAATCTCATTTATTTATTACACTATACTACCTTGTTCTGATTCTGATCCTCCTTGTCCACTCTGACTATTCCTTTTCTATATTCCCAAAGGCAGGCTTTTAAAAATACCCTTCTGTTGGCTTTGTTCTTGGTCTTCTGCTTCTCTCTATCCATTACTTGAAAGATTTCAGTCATCCTCTTGTGTTTGAGGAAGCAGAACATTCTACCGGGTGGTGATGTTTTATACCACACAGATACACTATAGTGTTACTGATAGATGGGCACACTGTGGCAGCAAGGCATCGTAATGCTTCACTTATATCACATTGGCTAGCCAGAGTTAAGTAGAAAAGCCAGAACTTTTTTTCCCTCTTACTCCATTCTGTCAGATTATCTAGTTGTAGTTAATTATGTTTAATCTGAAAAGCCATTATGTTTAAGACAAAACTTAGCCTGCTAAATTTGGCTTAATCATTAATTTCATAATGCCATGATAGTGTTCTTAAGCAGTCAATCCTAAGTGAAGGTAGCTTTTTTGGTGAGGAGAAGGGATTTGGAAGAGAAGAACTTTAATAGCCTTTGATGTGAAAACCAGAGCATTAAAAAAAGCGCCATGGGAAAGACACCTGAGAGGCGCGCACAGTCATTGTTCTGTCTGGGACGTCACGCTGTACTTACAATTGCAGGCTTTTACGTTTCAGGGTCTTCTCCTCCTCTGTATCTTTGACTTGGCAGTTTGCTGAGTGGGAAGCCTGTGGTTGAGGAGTAGGAGTGTCCCCCACCTGCTTTCAGAGGTGTGGTTTGTGGGGCTGAGCTGTTGAGGAAGGAGCCCATGGGATTGGTATGTTAATTCTTGCCTTTTTGGGACCTGAAGTTTTCTTTGAGCATGTCATTTAACTTTCTTTAAGTCTCAACTTTTAGTGTAGAGCAGGTATTAGGACGTGGTTTAGGTGGTACACTGATTAGGTGCTTCAATAACCTAGAATCACATAGTGGGAAAGTGATTTTTTTTTTTTTTAGGTTTTTTTATTTTTTGTTTTCTTTGAAACCTCTGAAAGCAGAAAGCTAGTATTTTCAAGGTAATATGTAACACTTCTCAGTATCTGCCAGTCTCCATTTTCTGTAGGGATAGCAGGCTTCGGGCTCAGAACCTTTAAGAGGCAGTAGCATCTACCTAGAATTTAATAACAGTGTAAATTTATTTCTGTGTTGCCTTCTCTTTAATGGCAAATGACAATGCTTTCCCATTTTTGATAGGTTCCTTTTTTTTTTTAAGTGCAAGTACTTTTAAACACAAAGGGGAGAGTCTAGGAAGCACCTACTCGGGAGTGGAGACTTGAGAAAGAGGAAAGGTAAGGGAGCCAGTAAACAAGTCAATACAAAAGTGTAATACAGCAAGCGCCGCAGACAGATCCGAAGTAATGACTAGGGGTCAATGGTGGTACGAGAAGTCTCTGCAGGTCTCTGCCAACCACTTTTGTTGCTATAATCTTTGGGCTTTAATTTTCATAGTCATATGGTTAGGTAGGTTTTCCTAGGGGTGTTCCAGAACCTTATTGTGGTTCACAGTTAGGCCGTCTTTTTACATCGTTCTCAGTGTGTACTTGAAGGTCAGGGCATATTTGAGAAGTTCCATGGATAGCGGAAGCTTGCAGGAACCAGGAAGGGAAACCAATGGTACTTGCCTGTTTTGTTTTAATTTTTAAAGCTGGACATATTCATAGTAATTCCTTTTAAAATCATAATTAATGGCTGTCTAAAACCCCTGACCAGGGTTTTTTTTTAAGTTGGAAATGGGTTAGCAATTGAGTCGTATTTAGGTGATAGAGTATCAATGCGAAATCAAAGAGGAATTTGACTGAAGGTGCAAAATTGCTATAGTTTTTGTTTACATGTGATAATAGTAATATTTATTTTACTTTTTACTTTTAGTAATGAATGTTATAACTATTGAAGATTATAAGAGCACATACTGGCCAAAATTGGATGGTGCCATAGATCAGCTTTTAACCCAGAGTCCTGGTGACTATATCCCCATATCCTATGAACAGATATACAGGTAAGTCAGGATATCATTTGCCTGGGTTTGAGAGGGTGTATTGAGGTTCATGGCAATTTGAATTATGACAGCATGTATGCATATAATATGTAACACATAAGATGAGGCTCTGTAAGTTATTTATATGTTACACACTTGTGGATTGGAAGTTTGATTTGTACTTTTTTGCTTCATAATTGGTTTTCAAATCAAGATAGAGTTAACCCCACTTGACTAGACTTCTTCCACTTCAGCCTTCCACCTCTGCGATATATAATGCAGGAACGACAGAGACCAGCAAAAATAGGTGTTTTTAGTTTCACAGGGAGACCCTAGGTTAATCTCTTGATGTTTATTGACACACAATTCTAACTCTCCGTTTTTGTTTTTTTTTGTCTCCCACCTCCTGGTAAGTAGAAGCAGCAAATTAGTGAGGAACTTGGGGTGGGGTATGAAATCAGCTCAGTCACAGGAGGAGGAAGTGACAACTGAGTTGTTCCACACAAGATGCACAAAGAGCATACATTGCACATGTTTTTGTGAGTTAGAAACTTTCCCCATTATCACTCTCTCTTCCTTATTTTGACATTCATTAAAATGAGAGGGTGGTTTTTAGTAGTGTCCATAATCAGACTCTCGGATTCTTCAGTACTGATAAAATATACAATAGAGTGCTCAGAAAGATTATTTGTTGCTGGTGGTGATGCTTCTTGCATCTGAACACTGGTTGGGGCAGGGTAAATTTTTATTTAAAAGTCGTGATTGGTCACTATTTTTAGGCCTTAATTGATTACTTGACCAGTGGCTGTATATCCAGAACATACTTTAACTTCATGCTGAATTAAGTGCTTCATCGTTAACTTGGTTTTCCTGTGTTGTTCCTCCCACAGTTGTGTGTATAAATGTGTATGCCAGCAGCACTCGGAACAGATGTATAGTGATCTGATTAAAAAGATAACTAATCACTTAGAGAGAGTCTCAAAGGAGCTGCAGGTAAAGAACTGATTGTTACTTTTTGCTTCCTTGGGATTTTCTGACTGGTTGGAATTAGCCCGTATAATATATTTTTGGGAGCTTGTTAATTTGAGTATATAAATTTATAAATATTTTCTAGATGGATAGTGACCAAATCAGCTAATCTTTGTAATAGATTATTTTAAAATTTTGACATAAATTGTGGAAATTTTTAGATTAATTATACTTCAGACTTGACTTTATTACCGTGTGAATATTTCTTTTATTTAAAACCTTATTCGTTTTCTGTTACATTTAGTATTTAGTGGCATTTATAATAGAAGCATGTATATGTTAATTTTTTTTCCGGGACTTTTGAAAAATTACCTTGGAAGAGTAGTTTACCTACCAGCTTCTAAAAGTTGCTAAAGTAAACAACTGAAGTCAGCATTTTGTTGATAAACCCGGAGGCAGGTGAACATCATCCTGGCTGTCAAATCTGGTGCAAGTTAGAGAAACTATTCAGTTAAAGAAACACTTGGACTCTTGATCCCCACAGCACCCCTCTCTGCCTCAGTAAAGTTTCCAGTGCGTGACGCTCAGGTACTATTTTTATGCCAGGGTCAGATCACGTTTTAGTTCTGGTGCAGAAGTAACGTGATGAATAGAAACGTCACTCAGCAATAGATTACCGGGGTCTACGCCACAGTTGGGAAGTGCTCCGGCAGTCCTGAATAGCCACAGTTTCTAGCAAGTGCTGGGGAGTGTTTTGGGCTTGGACGTTGTTCCTCCCTCACCTGAGGCATCTTAGTCTTACTTACCTCAAGCTGTTGTTGCTCTAAGTAGCTTTTTTAAAAAATTACATCCAGAGCGTGTTTATCATAGCCAAATACATACTGTTCCTGTTGTTAGTATAAAACGTTTTCTTCATCTTTTTGCCAGTAAATACAGTCTTTATTCATTTAACTATATTTGGTGCCTAGGCATTGTGCATAAATTGTAGACGGAATCCAAGATCTGTGCATTATAGCTTTTTTTAAAAGAAGATTTTATTTATTTATTTTTAGAGAGAGAGGGGAAAGGAAGGAAAAGGGGAGAGAAACATGATACGTGAAACAGCAGTTGGTTCCCTCTCTCATGCCCGCAGCCGGGGACCTGGCCTGCAACCCAAGCATGTACCCTGACTGGGAATTGAACTGGCAGCCTTTTGGTCCACAGGCTGGTGCTAAATCCACTGAGCCACACCAGCCAGGTCTTTTTAAAAATATTTTATTTATTTATTTATTTTTAAAGAGAGGGGAAGGAAGGGAGAAAGAGAAGGAGAGAGACCTCAGTGTGCGAGAGATACATCTATTGGTTGCCTCTTGCATGCCACCTACTGGCAACCTGGCCTGCAACCCAGGCATGAGCCCTGACTGGGAATTGAACCAGTGACCTTTTGGTTCACAGGCCAGCACTCTCTCCACTGAGCCACATCAGCCAGGGCTGTGCACTATATCTTTGAATGATTAACTTACTAATTCTTTTTGTTTTTTTTACTTTAAATAATTTTATATTTTTAAATAACAGTTGACATACAATATTATGTTAGTTTCGGGTGTACACCTCAGTGATTAGCTTAACAATAACCCACACCCTTCTGACCAACTTACCGCAGTGATTAGACATTATATAACTTACAAAGTGACCACCCTGATAAATCTAGTACCCATCTGACACCATGCAAAATTATTAAAAAATTATTGACTGTATTCCCTATGCTGGACTTCACATCACCATGACTCGTCTGTAACTACCAATTCGTGCTTCCTAACTCCCTCACTTTTTTCACCCATCCCCCCAACCCCCTCCAGTCTGGCAGTTGTCAGAATGTTCTCTGTATTGATGAATCTCTGTTCTGCTAATTCATTTGTTTTTCAGATCTGTTTTGTCTGTAAGTAGTGTTACCCTTTTATTTGTTTCCATTTTATGAAATACCTTTTTCCATCCCTTTACTGTCAGTCTGTATGTACCTTTTGACCTGAAGTGAGTCTCTTGTAGACAAAGCCTGTTTAAATTTAAAAAGCAGAGCACTGTTAGATTATCTGGCTCAGTTCAGAGTGTAAACAGCCTTGAAATCCTTGTTACGGAGTCTGTATGGTCTCCTTTCCTATCTCTGAACAAGTCTAGGAAGCACAGAGAGTCCAAAACAAGATAAACCCAAAGAGGCCTACATCAAGACACATTATAATTAAAATACCAACGGTTAAAGAGAAGGAGAATCTTAAAAGCAGCAGGAGAAAAGCAGTTATCTGCAAGGGAGCTCCCATAAGACTGTCACATGATTTCCCAACAAACTGCAGGCCAGAAGAGATTGGCAAGAAATCATCAAAGTGGTGAAAAGCAAGGACCTGCAGCCAAGGTTACTCTCTCCAGCAAAGCTATCCAAAGAATCAAAAGAATTCACAGGACAGATAAAGAGCTTCCCAGCCAAGAAGAAGCTAAAGGAGTTTTCACCACTAAAACAGTATTACAAGAAATGTTAAAGGTGAACATTTCTTTAAGAAGAAGAAAAGAAGAAAAGATAAAAAATATGAATAATAAAATGGCAATAAATACGTATCGGTCCACAGTTGCTTTAAATGCAAATGGATTAAATACTTTAATCAAAACACATATGGAGGCTGAATGGATAACAAATCAAGACCCTTACATGCGTTGTCTTTTTTCTTCATGTATTTTCTCTTCTGGCTTCTTTTGCCACTGCTTCTGTCCTTTCTTCCCTTTCCATAGAGGGGACATTCTACTTGTCTGTTAGGGTTTGCCCCACTTTTAAAACGTCTTTGTTTCTGGTGGGCTTAACGAACCACTCTCTCTTCTTTGCTTCTGTATCACTTTATTTGTACTGCTGCTGTAGTCCTTAGTTTAGCACTTTGGCGTACATTTAGTTACCAAGCAGGATGTCACCTTTCCAACACTGAGCCTCTTGAGGGCGAGAATCCTGATTTAGGACGCTGGTGTCCCTTGGTCTTTGTAGTGTCGAACCATTAAGTACCCATTAGATAAATGCGCCAGTCATAATGCTATTGACCAAATGCTTCCAAGTTTCTTCCTCCTGGATACATGGTGGGGAGAAACTTCTCTGTCTCACTGACGTTAGACTTGGCCCAGTGACTTACTTTGCCTGTGACATGTGACCCAAAAATCGGAAGCCTTCGAGGTCGGCTGTGCAACTTTCCGCGTTTCCTTCACCTGCCAGTCCCACCTGGCAGAGGCTCCCTTACCCTGGGCCTCCGTGTGCTTCTGGCCTGCGGCAGACCCTCGGGAGGGGCATGGAACACAAGTGAGAGAGAAGGCTTGCTGTGCCTTTCCCCTTGATTTTTAGTCCACTTAAAGTTTTTTAAATTGAGATGTAGTTCACATGCCCCACCATGTACCTTTTTAAAGTGTACAACTCATGGTTTTTAATATAGTCACAAAGTTATGCAACCATCACACTAGTTTCAGGACATTTTAGTCACCCCAGACTAACAGCCCAGTACCCATACGCGGCCACTCCCTGCTCTTTCCCCCTGTCGGCCACTGACAACCACTGATCTGCTTGCTTTCTCTGGATTTGCCTGTTCTGGACATTTCATAGACATGGAATGAGATAGTATGTGGCCTTTTGTGTCTGGCTTAATTAGCATAGTGTTTTCAAGGTTCATTTATGTTTCTGGCATGATTAATACTTTATTCCTTTTTATGGCTGAATAACATTCTATTGTATGGATATACCACACCTTGTTTACCCAAGCTCTGTTATCTTAAGTCACTGAGATCTTGGGAGTTGTTTTCCATGGACACGATCCGTATTTTGAATTGACAGCATTTAGCCTATCTTGTTTTGCCCCGCTACCATTTGGATAATTGAGTTTGTTGAATGTGACTAATATCCTTTACTCTTAAAACTCTAAAACAGCACTTCCACATTTTGATTATTTTTGTGTGGGCTTAATGAATTCTGAATTTGGAATTCACTGGAGCAGCTGTGAGACATTTTCTCCCTAAGTAATGTTGATAACTTTATTGTATATGTTAATTTATTTTATCAAATTGAGAGTGTATTTTTACTTTTACCAAATAGTTAGGACACCATTAGTAACACTTTCTTTGTCATTGGTTTAGAACTGAACACTGTGTATTACCCCCCAAAAGCGTGTTCTACCAGGGTTGGGTCCCAGGTTAGGAGAGCAGCACTGAAGTGCTAGGAGTCGCACGGGCGGTGCCACGACACGGGGGACAGGGTTCCGAGGAGGGGACGCCACCCAGACGGGCGGGAAAGGGGAATGTTGCAGTTTTTAGTCTCAAATAGGACCGAGTATAGAATAGTTTAAATGAGTATTTGTCAGCTATTTTAATTTTAAAAAAGTTAATTACTTTTAAACCTTTCATTTTAATAAAATTGAGTATTTTGATATCTTTTAAGATGAATACATCTTGACTGAGTTAAATGTAATTTGACTGTCAAGTCAGTTAATAATAGAAATTAATAGAAAATAAACCATAATCAGCCAATGTTACCTAACTTTGACTCACTCTTCAGAGACGCCAAGTTGCCAACAGACTGAGCCAATCAGATTCTCTTGGTGTTTAAAATCAGAGCAAGCGTTGCTTTGCTATTTGTGTTTTGTCCTGTGGGTGGCAGCATAACTCAACTTGTCTTATTACCTGGTCATTTGAAAGTTTCTTTTTATTAAAAGCAGTTTTGTCTACCTGTTGAACTACAAAGTATTAAAAAAGGAAAACTTTCATTCCCTCAAATATGGTATTTACTCCTTGCTAGAGTGAGGGAGATTTTAGATCATAAGAAAGTTGCCTGTCACCCTATTTTACATAGATTTCAAGTAAAATAAATATTGTTGCCAGTTGGTAAGTAACACTTCACATGTATACTCTACAGAAATTTTTCTTAATAAGTTATTTGGAGATCTATTTATTAATCCATACTAGAACTTAAAGCAGTTGTTGTAGCAAAGTTGTTCCTGTCTCAAGAGAATTGGCCGGTGAGTCACGCTGTA